TACCCCGATGCAGCCCTGGGTGCTGGAGCAGCCGTGTGGAGACCCCTGTCAGCGCTGAGATGCTTACACATTCACTGATTCGGCTTTCCTCCTGCAGTCAGCATTATGTGTTTTGTGAGATGGAGGAGGACTTTGTGGATTGGTTTCAGACATGTGGGTTACTTGTGGGTTTGGGCAGCACTGGGTTGGGATGTTTTCATGATGTGCACTTACCCTTCATATAAAACTCTTATACGTGAGTGGATTTGTTTCTCTGCAATACCCAAACTAACACCGCCAGGAACAGGTCTCTCCTGACAACAGCTCCAAAATAATGTGAAATCTGACCATGTTCACCACTAAGGAGCACTTTTCCCAGGGTCGATTTGTTTGCCCTTTTAACAATCCATAGTACTTTCAATATTCTTCTCCAGCACCCTCATTCAAATTCATAACTTCTTTGGTCCTCTTTATTCAGTGTGGGAACTTTCCCGTGCCTCTGAGGCAACGGAAAATACCATGCTTGTGTCAGACTCACATTAGTCCTCAGAGTAACATCCTGGCTTTCCAATAGAGGCCCTCTGCGGCACCTTTACCAATGGCAGCTTGCCTTTGAATGTCCTGACTGCCGTTTCCATGAGCATTGATTGTAGGGTCAAGCAAGACACAATCCTTGACAAACGTCAAGCTTCCCTCCATCACCATGATGTTACCTGTTGGTCCTCTTGGGAGGACTGAGGTCTTCTTGGCCTTGAGCTGTAACCACACTGAAGGCTGCAATCCTTCATCATCATCAGCAAGTGCTTCGATCCCCCCTCACTTCTAGCAAGCACGGGCGTGTCACCTGCGTATCACAGGTCGTTAAGCCTTCCTCCAGCTCTGCTGCCACATCCTTCATTGTAGCCAGCTTCTCCAGTCATTTGCTCAGCGTACAGGTTGAATAAAATTTGTTGAGGGGATACAACTGGGACGCACACCTTGTCTGATTTTAAACCATTCATATTTCCTAGTTCTATTCGCATAGCTGCCTCTTGATCCATTAACAAGTTCTGCATGAGCATCACGAATTCGGGAATGGAATTCTCATTCTTGTCAAGGTTACCCACAGTCTCTTTATGATCCACACAGTCTGATGCCTTGGCATAATCAATAGACCACAAGGAAACTGCTTTTATATTATCTGCTACCTACGTAGCATCTGTCTATCACTGCTTAGTAGATGAGGGAACTGAGGCTTGGAGAGGCTAAGCGATTTTTCTGATAGATATTTACAAACTGGGCAGCTGGGATTACAATGTAAACCTTTGTCCTGAAAATTCTCTTAAAAAGTTTCAAAGGTAGGGTTCCTTTGAAGCTCTGAAGCGGAGAGCGCCGCTTCCTTTACTTGCGTGGTCCAGTTCCAGATGATGAGCGACAGCAAGAGGAAGCAAAGCCCAGAAAGTCACACGCAGCCGGCAGGGAATGCTCGCTCACGTCGGATGCCTCTGTCTCACCAGCGCGCCACGTGCCCCGATGTCAGTAGTCACCTCACTCACCGCCCTCGCCACATGCCCCCCCCATGTTAGTAGTCACCTCACTCACCGCCCTCGCCACATGCCCCCCCAATGTCAGTAGTAACCTCACTCACCGCCCTGGAGTTGAGGGGAGCTCATAGTGACCGTATTGCAAGGCGTGGAACAGCTTCTGTGAGTTCCCCAGACGGTAGCTCTTTATAGGAGTAGAAAGCCCTGTCTTTCTCCTAAGGAGCAATGGGTGGTTTCCAACGGCTGGTCTTGCAGTTCATAGCCCCATGTGTAACTACTATGCCATTAAGTCTCCTTCCAGTAACCAAGCCGAGCATTTTTGACTCAAAATATAAGAATCTGGTAGAGGAATTACCCTACTTGCGCTTCGTGACCATTTTAATCCAAGTTTATGGCCTCCGAACTTTGTGCTGACCATGCTAAGTGAGACCGAAGGGCTAGAGTCTGGAAAATGAGGTATTTTCTAGGTTATCAATTTTGTTTTGTTCAAATCCAAGAGGAAGTCTCATTTATCTTCCTATTTTGTCTGTAGAGGAAAGCATGCTATTACAGAATTGTTAGAGATGGCGTGAGAGACACTGCCGCCAGCCAAACTACACATGCAAAATACAAGTGGGTCAATGAATCATTTTTCTAAATAAACAGTCTTCTTTGTGATTACAAAATACCCTAATAAAATTGCACTAAATCATACAGGCTTCAGGAACCTTTCGACTGCACCTATAGTTTAAGTAGGAAAATTTGAGCACTTGACCAAAGGGGGAGGGGTAGTGGGAAGGGAAGGGACTTTATAAATAAGAAGGCTATCAGGTAATCAAGCTAGAAAGAGTAACCCAAGAACAGGTGGTCGTTGAGGTTTTCTTTAGAGACAAACTTGAGGCATTCACTGAGAAGTGGTCAGGGGCAGGTGGACAGGGCACTGCAGGGAGGAAAGTTATGTCCTGGGGATTCTGAGTTTATGATGCATGTGGGCATTCATGGTGACAATAGGACAACAAACAAAAAATGTAGAAATAGATCCTAAAAATTCAGGTTAAATTTTTTTCTCCTCTCCCCTCTCTTTTATATAAAATCGTAGCTACTCTGAAAAGTTGTTTTCTATAAATATAGGCTGTTTGAATTTCCTCCTAGCAAACCACTCCTTTGACTGCATGTTTCATTTTACTTACCTTTGATTTTACCTTTGGTCACCCTGCAGTATTGTTATTAACTAAATTAACTCTTCTCAAAAGATAAACAGAGGAACGATATTGTTTCAATGCTACAGCCCTTAGGCAAAACTACTTTACACTTCATCAGTATTTAAGAAATATTTGTTGAAATCTGTTAACCCAAAATAAATTGAGAAATTGTGCTTAGTCAGAAAATTTAATTCAAGCCCATACAGAATTTCCATAATCTCTTAATTTGTTGATTTTCACTGTATCTTTAACATTGCTGTAGTATTACCCTCAGCAGCAACATAGGACCCCAAATGCCATAAAGTTGAATAGCTCAATTCTAAAGGACACAGGATTCACTCCCAAAATGCTCATGTTCCTTTTTCCCTACTAACAGGCAGGATGCCTGCCATGGGGACCTCTACCACATAAAATAAGTAAATGGACAGACTGCTTGAAGAGTTATCTGTTGGAAAATTTGGCTAAAATGGAATCAAAGAATGACAGTTCACCGAGTGACGAACACTTTATTTCAAAAAGCAGAATATTTAATATAGCACTTTCTGAGAAAATAATTAGAATACTGTAATTAAATGAATTTCATATTTTGAATACAATCAAGATGGATTGAACATTTCAAACATGAGTTTACTCAAACTTTATTTAAATACAATTCAATTTAATTGTGACTTTCAAGAGATGAATTCTTTCATACAAACCAAAGCTCTTTGCAAGTTTTCATTAATTTTTCAAATGTTTAGATCTTCAACATATAGTACAAGGGTTTTCTCTTAACTTTGAATACATGTACTGCATTTTAATACACTCTTAGGTGGTCATATAAGCCAACAATAGTCCATTTTCCTTTTTTAACAATAGATAAACCAAGTTTGATACAAAAATGAATCAGGTGATTTAGAAATCTTGTTTCATTTATGTAGAATACACTCTGTGATTCAAAAACAGATTCTTCCTCCCAAGTTAGAATTGCTTCCCATCCCCCTAAAAATGGAAAACAGAACAAATTGTAGAATCCAAATGTGATTCATTAGTCATGACTGAATTAAAATATTTACTGTTATAGACTATAACTTTAAACAACTGATCTTCTTGTTTTATTCTGTTTCTGAGCGCGTGACTTGTTTCGAAAGAACAGTGTTTTAAAATTTTACTTTTTTTTACTTCCTCCAAAATATCACCTTCTACCACAATAAATGGACCAACATTGTTAGCATCAAATACCTAAGTGTAAATACATTTCCACTCACGTGTCCTTTAAACATCCTGGTCCTACGAGCCGCACCTTCAATCATACCTCTTGGGAGCAGGAATGTCCAGATTAACTGGGGAGTCACTCTCCATTTAGCAACGAAGTGAATGGCAATGGTCAGGAGTAGATAGATAGACTTTGTTCACCTAAACTCCACAAGCGAGTGCGACATTTAATCCAAGCGCTTCATCTTCTTAAAACTTTAATCTGCTATATCTACTATATTTAAAAGAGGTTGAATCAACAAATCAAGTATCCACTCCCACACAGAATAAATTGTCTACCATGTGAAAGGTAACACTCATTACTCAATATTTTAATGTAACACAGAACTTTCCGTTAAAAATTCCATATACATATTATATCTTGATGCTGTCAAAAATATGGGGCGTATATTGTTTCTGACTTCAAAAGTATAAAAGTAGATTTTAAAAAAATCTACTTTCCAAACCCCAAGAGTAGTGTACTTGGAGGGCAAGCATATCAGTAGTCTAAAAAATTAGTCTCAGTAAGTAACATTTGATTCACAATTGAATGTTCACTATCGGTACCAATGAATCCAATTTGGGGAAATTTTGAGCAACTATTATTAGCACTAACTGTAGCTGTATAGCTACATTGAGGTGAAACTGTATCCCATTATTTCCATTGTTAGCAGGTTGTTAAATTGATCTAATCTCACTGTCAATTCAACAGCTTGTCCCTGCACAGATTGCTCAGAATGACTCACAAACTGTTGCTGTCTTCAAACTATATACTCTGCAAGGTAGCCAAGAAATGTCTGTATGTTGTGCCGAACATAAAATAATTTGTGGCTTCCAAATATGTTTTCAACACAAAGTTTGCCTGCCCACTGTAGAAATTTTGTCAATTCATGTGGAAATATTTATCACCTGTAGTCATAGATACACAAAATCAATATATGTGTTATTTAACATTGTGTCAGCAATGTATTTCTTACTGCTTTGAGATTGCTTTTGGTCTAGCTTACTGCTCCACCACATAGCTGCTCCACAAACACCCTTCATTATTGGCCCAGGGCACGAGATTGCTGTGCTGAATTTGCAATAGTAATGATAATATTCTTGGGAATGCTAAATTGTTTCTTAATTTTGTTGAAAAGCATTTTATTTTTAAAGCAATTAAACCTATTGTTGGTTGATATTTACCACCCCATGTTCCTGGAACACTAAAAGAATACATTTTATACACAATCCCCCACTATACTGCATTGCTTGAGAATAGCTCTTTGATATAAATGCATTCAGCTGAGTTTTCAAACCAAAGAACGAAAATTATAGCAATTTCACTTGAAATCCATAAATCCATGCACAGAATTGTGTTCAACAGAATCACTAAATGCTATTTGTTATTCAAAGATGAATGAATCAATAGAAAAATAGAACTGATAAATCATTAGTACTTTAATGCAGAGTGGAGAGGGAAAACTAATAAATCATGCATTTAAAGCACTTGTTTTCCTTACGACATGCTTGAAAACATAAAACATGCAATGATGAGATGCAGGTCAATATGAAGGAAGAACACTACCAAGAATTTTCAGAAAAGTATTCCATTTTATACCCGAGGCTTAATGGAACGTGATGAAAAGATGGTGGCATGATTTCTTTAAACAGAGAGAGGAACCAGGCCGTCATTTCCAAATAAACACCTGCAAAGGAAAGGGCTGGGGTGCGGGAGCATGGGGGGAGTCTAACTGCATGCATAATTTGCATCAATCAGCTCAATTTTATTACAGGTACCAAGGTAATACGTGAAGGAACTGATACAATCATTTACATCCTTCAAGTGTATTCAATTGATCCATTAAAACTTTCAGGGATCTATATTTATGCATGAGCAGAATAGTAAGAAACTGGCTGTTGGGCTGTGATTGTATTTTATGGCCGATTGTCTGTAAATGGGAAACATTTTAAATTATAACTAATGGATAATTTACCCTCTTCAGAGTTTTACTTATCATCAAACAAATAATAAAAGCCATAAAATTGTTCCATAATGCTTAATTATGCATGAAACCATTTTCTCAAGCAACTTTTCTTGAATCTTTGGTGGGAAACACAGTTTCTTAGGCACACAGTTTAAAACATCTATCTGGTTACTGGTGTGATTACAGATTCCCTTCTAGAGTCACATGCAGAAAAGAACAAGGCTTGTCGTGTTACCACTCTTTACTGCCAAGTAACATGTTTTCACTTGTTTCTGGATTAAAAACAACAACAACCAAACAACAACAGAAAACACTCTCTATTTTTTCAGGCACATGAAGACTTTATGCTGGACATTTTCAATTCCATTAAGATGCCCAAGAACAAACTACATATAGCAAGCTCTCACAGATATCTAGTAATAAAAGCCGTGAATTAAGTTTCTCCTGAAGTCATACGTCAAAGATCATTGAGCTGTTGTTTGGGTCTAAATGAGACAAGTATAGCGATCTGGGAATACAATCATTGTAGCATTACTGATTAGTGGTTCTTAATAACTGAAATGACACTGAGAGAATCACATTCCCTATTCTTTTTTTAAATTGTTAAAAAAAGTTTCCCACACACTGATAAATGGCAACTGGGGAAGCATGGGTGGAAGACATAAAATCTATGGGAATGCATGCCACAAAAATATGCAGTATCACTTAATGTAAACATCTGCTTTCTTCATGCAAAGATACCTATAAAAACAGATTCAATAAGTCTTTTAATAGCTGAACTTTACATGAGCTCAGTAACAAAAACTATTAAAGCAATTCCATGACTTTCCATGAGCAGGGACTTGACATGGTTCAAAGATTTCCAGCATAAGTGCTCCGTGGCCCAATTATGCTGATTCGCCTTGTAAGAGAGAAACGACACAGGACTATTCCTTGCTGCGGTTGCTTGTTCTTTTGACAAGGGAGCAGAATAACCCGGTTTTGGGAGGAGGGCCCATCAGCATCGGGGCTTGGTTTTTGTGAGTAATTTTGATCTAAGGAAAAAGAGAGAGAGAGAGAGAATAAAATAAGCCCCAGACACAAAGCTAATTTTCAAGAATCTCTGTTAAATTCACTAATAGTTCATGAGTTGCAGCAACATAATAAGTGTAAAATATAGTTCCATGGTTTCTACCTTGATAACTAGCTTTAGTAGAGGAAAAGATGTGCATTTGAACCATACCCTAATGATCAGTGTACTCAAAAAACCCCGAAATTACCTGGCGTCAGGTTTAAATAGCATAGTACCTCTAAAGGGACGCAATGCCCCCGAGCTAGGCTACAGGAGTACCTAGCATAGTTTCTTGACTATTAGTTATATATCATTGAGTTAAGACAGGAAGGAGGCACTATTACAGTACTCATTACAGTATTCAGAATCCCAGTTATAGCCCAATATCAAGTTGTACTTGGTATCAAGGTAAGTCTTATTTATCTTGCTAATCAGATTGTTTCTGTCTTTCAACATGAACTGCAAGGCTTAATATCAAAACAATCATTAGGGATGAAAGTCAAAAGTTAACATGAATAAAAGGTCAAGAATGATGAACTAGCTTTCTAATTTGCTAATTAATTGGTAATAGAATAGAATCAAATATTGAAAAGCCTGCTTAAAACACTTTGAGAGACTGTGCTAACGCTACTCGTTTTGATTTCTTTGATATAAAACTACGAATCACCTTAAATGAGACAACCTTAAAGTAGATTATGTCTGCAATTTTCTCTAATTCAAGTCTAAATTAGAGAAGACATTTTATGAATATATGCTATGCTCAAAGCTAATTGAAAGCAATTATCAAAGTGGCATTTTGTCTGTGACTTTAAGATACATTGTAAGATAATAAATGATTCTCATTATGTAATAAAAAGGTCACATCTTGCCTGTGGGCTAGTGATGCTAAGAGTTTTTCAAAAGCAATCTAAGACATTTTCTTTAGTGAACTGCGACTAATACAGGAACCATCGCTTATTAAATATCAGTTGTCACCTGCACAGTACCAGCATTTGAGATGAGTATTTCTTTCAAAAGAAACACCACCTCATTAAAAACGGCAAAAAATATATCTCTTAAAGTGCATACCTGACATTTTCAAGTTAAAATGAATACCCTTCACTTTTCATTCACTAATAGCAATGAAAAAAAAAACAACCAACAAAAAAAATGGCTGTCACATGGATGGGATCATTAAATTCAGCACTGGGGCTTTTGGGGAAAGGAGATTTACTTCACAGTCTAGAAAGACAGAAGAATGTGAAAAATCTTGAAAGGACGAACAACTTTATTTAACTCAGTTGGAATCAGGTTATTCAGAAAGGATTCAGTGTTCTTTTCTTGACTATAAAAATAAATTGCATCTGTAAAAGGCCACCAGGACAAACCAGCCCTAAACTCTCTGAAAATGGTCTTTACCAGATTTATTTTTCTCAACCATTTGACTTTCCATTAATTGTACATTAGCTCCTCTGAATTCTATATTTGGGTAGTGTCCACTGTACCATCATTCAGTTATTTACTCACTTGTCAAATTTATTGAGACCCACAATGTGTCAGAACTATACAAAGGACTATGGATAAAGAGACATTCCATAATCTTGGTGCACAAGAAGTTATAGCCTACTCCATAGATAAATTTAACAAGTCCATTCAGTATAGATGTTGAAATAGAAAGCTAAGCAGAAATCTACAAACAAAACCCAAACCCACTTCGATTGAGTTGATTTTTGACTCATAGCATCTCTATGACTATGCGGCTGTGGGACTTTATGAGCGCAAATTGAGTCAACTTTCTTCCTCAGAGTGGCTGGTGGGTTTGAACAATCAACCCTGCAATTAGTAGTCCAATATTTACCAGACAACACCATGAGGGCTCCTTGCTAGGCAGAAAAGCACAAGGTCTATTCAATGTGAAGTAAGAGTAGACGCATAGAAACCAGTAACTGGTTGAAGAATTAGAACACATCGTTTTCTTATTTCTATTATACTGGCAAGGTTTATAAGTGTGATGAGTCTTCCTCATAACTTCAATATTTAAATAATAAGAAAATTTCACAAGAAATGACCAATAAATTCCATTTATTTGATTTTGTGTGTGTTAAGCTTATGCTAAGATATTTTCACATGCAATTCAGATTTTATCCTTCACTTTGTGTGCTGCCAACAAAAGCCCAGACCCCCAAACCAAACTCACTGCCACGAATTCATAGATTCTTAGATTCTACAGAAAAAGGATGAGCAAGGAAAGAATGATGCCTTAAGCTTCATCAAATCATTTTGAAGACCAGTGAAGACTTTATGAACAGTTTCAGCTCTTGTCTGACAGAGAGCCCGAAGAACAGCCCCTTGGTTGGAAGCACTCAGACCAGGACTGGAAGGGAACTGTCTCTTTACGTTAGAGCCAACCCGAGGGCTTGGACAGAGCAAAGCTTGCAGGCCCTTCATTGGCTGACGTGGCACAACTCAAACCACCACCACCACCAGCCACAGAAACAGTTACAAATACTCATTCACAATCTGAGTGTGGAATGCACCTGATATGAATCTCAAAAAATTAGAAGTCATCAAAAATGAAATGGAACAAATGAAGATTAATATCCTACGCATTCGTGAGCTAAAATGGACCGATATGAATCATTTTTCATTGGATAAACATTTGGTCAACTCTGCCAGGAATGACAAACTGAAGAGAAATAATGTCACATGCATCATGGAAAGAACATTTCAGGATGTATCCTGAAGGACTACAGTGTCAGTCATAAGGTAATATCCGTATGCCTACAAGGAAGAAAGTGAAAATAACGATCATTCAACTTTTATAAGTTATAATAGTATTAGTTTAATGATGCAGCAACAACTAATGCCAGAGAGAAAGGAATTTCACAATTTTACCAACTTTTGCAGTCTGAGACTGATCAAACATGCACTCAAGATTCACTGGTAAATACCTGTAATTGGAATGGGAGCATTGGAAACAAAGTAGACGGCTGACATATATGGTTTTAGAGATAGAACTGACACTGGAGATATCTCCTTATAAAATTTTGCAAGACCAATAAATTTGATCATTGCAAATACCCTTTGCAACAACATGACCGGCAAATATACATAGACTTCACCAGATGTTATACACAGGAATCAAATCAACTATATCCATGTAGAAGCTCAATATCATCAGTCAGAATAAGGTTAGTGGCTGACTCTAAGACAGATGATCACTTCCTCATTTGTAAGTTCAAAGTAAAACTAAAGAAAATGGAAACAAGTCCGTGACAGCCAACGTGCAACTGTAAATATTCCCACCTGAATTTAAAGACCATCTCCAGGATAGATTTGACTCATTGAACAGTGTCTAAAGATAAGATAAACTGTGAGATTACGGCAAGGAAATATACACAAAGAAGGCAAATGACAATTAAAAATACAGGAGATAAAGAAAACACAAAAATTGAAGTCACAAGAGGCTATAGAACTCCATTGTGAACATAAAGTAGGTAACGTGATTGGTAGGAATGATTGAGTATACGAGATGGAAATACAACTTCAAAGGACCTCTCAAGAAGATAAAGTATTAGGATGAAATGTGCAAAGGTTTGGAGGTGCAAATCCAAAAGAGAAGAACACTTTTAGCATTTTATGTCCTGATACATTTCAAGAAATAATTCAAGTCTCAAGTTGTAATGTTGAAGGATTTTATGTGCAAAATGCTGAATGGAGTCAGAAGCATTGGATGAAGATGAATTCAGAGTCACTGCCCAACAAAGAAATGCTGGGTGTTCAATCATTTCAGAAGGTAGCATAGGATCCACTGGCATTGAAGTAAGAAATCCAAGCCACACTGGATGCCCTGGTGAAAATACTGGGCTACAAGAATTGATAAAACGCCAATTTCAGCAAGTGGACACAATACTGAAAGCACTTACTCATCGACACCAAGAAATTTGAAATGTGGGAACCATAGAACAATAGCATTAATATCATTAATATCGCACGTAAGTAAAATATGCTAAAGACAATTCAGAAATCCTTGCAACTGGGCCATGCCAGAAATTCAAGCCTGATTCCACAAAGATTTTGAACAAAGGATACCGCTACTGATGTCATAAATATCTCGGCTGAAAGCAGAGAATAACAGAAAGACGTTTATCTATGTTTTATTGACGCTGAAAACACATTTGACTATATAGATTATAACAATTATGGATCACATTGCTAAAAGTGGCAATTCCAGAACATGTTCACCCGGGCAACCTGTTCATATATCTAGAGCACAGGTGCATTCCCAAATATAGTTAGCCTACCACCCTCTTTTCAGGAAAAAAAAATTCTCAGCGCTCCTGGCAATGGAACATGTTTGTACTATAATCCCTATAATTGAGCATAAAGTATAGGGATCTGCCCATGCCCCACCATCTCAGTGCTCCCCCACCCCCCTGCACACCCACCACGGGAGTAGTGTCATCCGCGTTGGGAAAACTGATCCACGGGGGGCTCAGGTGCTGGAGAAGGACTCTGCCTGCTAAAGCAGAGGGTCTCTGAACAGGAGGAAGCCCCTCCAGGAGGCAGCTCGAGGCAGACATTGCAACATGCAAACATGGCAGCAGCCGTGACTGTGGGACAGCACGGGCAGGGTTTTCTTAAGCGGCACTAGGCTCGCTGTACACTGTGATCCATTTGATGGTACCTAACCAACAACAATAAGAGCTACAAGATGGATAAAACGAAAATCAGTGTTGGGGGCATATCGTTGATCCACTGTGCGCTCCCATTCAGATATGTTCTGTGAAAATTCTGAATTAAGATGTATAACTTAACATTGCCAATTTGTTCAACATCTCAACTATTTACTTTTGGCCTAAATGCATAATCTTTCGATTGCTTCTTATTGCTTTCCTGGAAGATAAGCTTAATGCTGTTGTGAGATGATATTTTGATAGCATTTGCTTTTTAAAATATATCCTGTCTGTGCCTGACCAAAATATTCTTACTTCATCTCTTTAA